AACATGTCTTTGAGGATCTCCAGTCCTGGTGGTGGTAATTTTCCACTTATGCTCAAAATTTAAAAAAGAAATTCTTCAGGTAAAACACTAAAATCTATTGCAGAGGGGGGGCCCTTGGGTGGCTCAGCTGCTTAAACGTCCGACTCTTGATTTCGGCTCAGGCCATGATCGCAGGGTTGTGGGGTTGAGCCCCATGTCAGGCTCCACGCTCAGCAGGGTGTCTGCCGGAGATTCTCGCTCTCTCCCTCTCCCTGTGCCCCTCCCCCTGCTCGTGTTCTCTGTCTCTCAAATAAATAAATCAATCTTCAAAAAAAGTCTATTGCAGAAGAGAAGAAAAACAGACACACTGCTCATACTGCACTGGGTTACTTAGAGATATAAACCTTGTTATTTGAGGTTCCCGATGTCTAGGAAACAGCTGATCACTTAGAAGATTCTCTGAATCAAGTCCATTTTGATACACAGCTGTGAAAATATTAATTACATATGCTGTTTCGTGCTGTAGGTTAGAGCATAAGCTAGAGTTAGATGTTCCAGGCTGGAATCCCAGATGTACCACTAAACAGTATAGGAAAAGCTTAATGGGTTCGTGCCTCAGTTTCCTCATTTGTAAAATGGGGATGATAAAAATACTTTCTTTGTAGGTTTGTTGTAAAGATTAAGTGAGTCTCCACCTACAAAGCAATTTAAAACCCTATCTGGTACATTTTAAGTGGTCAAAAAATGTCCTGGGAGAAAAGACTTGAATCCAGGAAATTTAATTATTCATCTTCCGCTTCAAGCCAGGAACTTGGCAGTCACCCTAGAATCCGATCTCTCCCTCTCACATCCTACGTTCGGTCCATTGCCAAGTTCTGTTGAGTCTTCCCCTAAATATCTCCTGGATGCAACACCCCCTCTACACTGTCACAGTCTCTGCCCTGGTTCAGCCCCTCAGCCTCTCTCACTCCCGAATCACCACCAGCGCTTCCGGACCACTAGCCCGGCTGCTGTCTGCAACACGGACACCCGAGGGATGGTTCTAAACCATGCAGCTGTTCGGTTCCCAGCCTACCACCGCCGTTCAAGTTGGTTCGAGTCCCTCTCCTTTGAGAGGGTGATTTCCAAGCCCATACAAAGGTCTTCAGGACCTGGCTCCGGACTACTTTTCCAGCCATTTTTCCTGCCATACACTCCCATCCCCTTTGCTCTTTATTAATGTTTGTTTCTCACACACCTGAGCGTTCCCTCTTACGTCCACCACTTTGGGCATGGGACTCCTGTCCTCCTCCTTGCCTATCTTGCTCACTCCTCCTCCAAGGCTCAGCTTCATCAATTCAAGTTGAACTGGGAGTCTTCCTCTGGGCTCCTGTGGCTCCCTTTCCACATGTTATGTAGGGTGATTAATGGTGCTCATATCTTTCTCCTCACTCTGCAGGGAGTTACTGTACTATTGCAATTCTGCCTCCTTTAGCTTTGCTTCCACCACCGGATGCCGTGCCTGACCCACAGAAGTCACCCAATAAATGTCTGCTGAATGAATGCATGAATGCAAAAATGAAGCAATGAATATTCATTCCTGCTCTACCACTGAGTAGCCGTATGAGTCTGACGTCAATAATTAGAAACGATATTAACCATAAAATTGAATGCCACTTTATCCCAGTATATATTATCCTATGTCAGTGATACATATATAAATGTTTCTTTTTTTAGTGTACATTTCCTTAGATCACCTCAAAAATTTTTTATAGGATGTAATACATATATACAAGCATACTTGTGAATATTAAAAAAAAATTATTGAATAAGTTAAGGTCAATTCTCCTAATACCCCTCATTATTGAAACGTATCTTATAGTTTGCATGGAGAGAAGGCAAAACATGTGGGCCTGAGAGCATTTGTGACTTCTAGCCCTCATGAATCCATAGGAGTAGCTTGGGTAGTCTACTGACCAGCGCCCGTGGGCCAGGCCCTTGCTCAGCGCAGGGGATATAAAGAGTTCCTCTCTGCAACTTGCTCAGTCAGGGCATGGATCCAATATTAACCCGCCCAAAGGCACTCCATCTACCTTGGGCACACCACCCTCTCACGGCCAGCCTCAGCAGCCCATCAGGAGAGGAAGAGAGGGAAGGGAAAAATCTATCAGGGAAGAGCGATGGGAAAGTATGCATCAGGGAGATTTGTAAATGCAGTAGAAAGAAACTTTTAAACAAAATACTCATGAAAAGTTTTTTGGATTTTTTTTTTTTTTTTGCTTCAAGTCAGAAAAACCGGTGATAAAAAGATTAAGGGTTCATCCATCTAGGTGTATTTCCTTTAACAAATAGGAAGATCTTTTTCTTGACACGAGTTGCTATGGCAAGAATAAAACACACCCTTATAAAAATTCAAGTCATTATAAATTCCTAGAAGTTTCCTATTTTTTTAATTGGTAATCACTTATTCATGGTTATCAATATTCTTAATAGACCAAATGTGGGTTTTTTTTTTAAACTGATGAAATGTGAATGCAGTGTTGATTTTATGCATGTATTATGATTTGATTATAATGCTTAGTAATATCCCATACTGTATGATGTTATGCCATATGGATAGAATCAGGAAAGGCTCATCTTGGGCTTGCTCAGACCTGAACTACACGGGTACCATGAACCAAATTCCTTATTTTACAAATTAGATACTCTTTACATTTTTCTTAAGTTTGTCTATTTTGTGATTTTAGGAGATTGCTCACTATTACTCTTATGTAATTAAAAGATCCTAGAGGATATTTCTACATATGAGCAAGAGCAACGAACCCCATAACAACTCACAAAGTATATAAAAGCAGCTTTTCCAATTGACATGGGACCTATAATACGGAGCAAAGTAACCCACGAGCCTTAATTAGGATCTTTAGGAAAAGGTAGGAAAAAGAAACACCAAGTCAAAACAATTCACTTTGTGGTACATATGCTATATGACCAAAAAAGAATCTAGATTATGTCTTCAAAGTAATCTAATCTTGACTTCATACTTTGAAAGTGGTCCCTGAAATCACTGGACTAGGAATATTTAAATCTCCTGAAATACATATATCTTTGAGAGGGAATATGCATATCTTACTGTGTCATAAATCTAGTAGTACAACAGCAATGGAAGTGTTATCCCCGAGCCACTTTCTGGGTCACCTCTGTGACTGTCCTGAGAACAAAACATTTAAATCTGCTTACACGTTGACATAGCGATATTGATATTTCTCCATGTTCCCTTCTGGTTGCTAAGAGATTTACATTGGACAGACTCTGTTGTACTCATTAACAAAGCACTTTGGTCCACAAAGCAATTGCTTCAGCTCAGTGAGTCCAGAAGCTCCCTTTGCCTGGCCCCTTCCCGATTTTGCTTCCAAGTCAAACAGGGGCCCAGGGCCCAAGGCAGCGGGCCTGTCATCACCACAGGAAACTGTGGTGCAAAAGCCTGGCTCAGCCAACAACTCTTACACAGGGTATGAACAGCAGTGGTGACGCTGTATCTTTATACAAACACATGTCCCTTCCCGCATGGTCCTTAGAAGCCAGTTTATCGTGGTGGGAGTGGGCAAAGATGTGTGGAGAGGGGGCACTCCATAGTGACCTATGCACAGACAACCTGACACGGTACAATTAGACCAGAACCCAGCCAGATATGGCAATTCCATAACTCTGCTGTGCAAGCCTTTGAAATATGCAACCTGAGTTCGTACTTTCATGAAAATATATCCAAGAAGTTTATTTACAAGACTACTGAAGGGGGGACAATCTATATGAACCACCTTGCAGCAAAGCAAATGTAGCCCTCCAAACTCAATCTCATCGAGCCTGCCACGTAACAAATGGCAGAGAGGCTCCTTTTACTGATCCTAACTCTGAAGAAAACGGCAAAGGCACCAGAAATATTCCTGATCATCCCTGAGGAGAGGTACATGTGGTGGATGAAATCGGCATGTCATTTACAAGGCACATGCATCACTGCTCAGAGCAAATTAAGATGATCTTTCCCTTGGGAATTCTCACAAAGAGCCATAAAAATGCTTTATGACCTGACTTTCATATTCAGATCACAGAGTTTTAGTCAATTTTTATTAATTGCCATGGAGGAAAAGTGCTTTGGGCCCTCACTCCCCACCCGGTACCTAGGAGTCACATTTAAGGGCACAGTCACTAAACACTCAGTAAGTACTCTCAGGCTGTAATAAAACACCACTGACCTAGAATTTTCCTCCTCCCCCCATCCCCACCACCTTAGAATATCAGTTGGGGATGATCAATGCCCATGCTTTAATCAGAAGCAATCAGCGTGGAAGCCTGCAGGTCCCCGCCACTGGTGCCATGGGAATTCCTGCATCCAGGATAATCCCTCTCCCCCAGCCGAGAAAAACAAACCCCAGTGATTTTAGCCTCATGTAACAAAAGAAAGTTATTTCTGGCAGCTTACTGCTATTGCACAAGCTAAGGAGCAGCACCTTACGGAAATAAGGGGCAAGAGGAAAGAAAGAAAGGCGGAAAAGCGCGAAGCAGGAAATGACTTTTCTGCTCCGTCTTTAAGGTCACAGATCTGCCTGAGAAACGCACACGAGTGACAGTAGTTCTAGCACAAAAGCTCCTTTTCCACGAGCCAGACCTCCAAGAAGTACCAAGACTGGCTCCCCGGCCTCTCCCTCAAACCCAAGTCCCCGGAGTCCGTTTCACCTTGATGGGGCTGGGAAGAAACTACTTTTCACTCCCTTGCACCCCCTTTCTGTGTCCTGCCAGCGTGCCCCAGCCTCCTCGAGGTGGAAGCACACCTTCCGCATCAGCCCTGCAATCACCCCCACACAGCATAAAACCTTCCCTCGCCTCGCCCGTCCTGCGGCCGTGCCCGACCGGTGGGCTTCATCATCTGTTCCCAATTCAGCCCCTACACAGCCTGTAAAAATAGCCCTTCATGCCTCCAACAGACGCCAGGAGGAGATTAAAACAAAAAAGCCAGGCAAGCTATATGCTCTGGCAGAGACCACTACCTTTCTCTTCCGATCCCGGGACCGTTTGCGGTGTTTCCTTTTTTTCTCAGGCTCTTCTTCAGCATTGATTTCTAAATCCCTGTTTTTCTTTAATTGTGAGGCTGCATGAGCCATAATGCATTTAAAAAGAGCTTCTCAAGCACGCAGAGCTTCCTCCTATAAGGTGATCTCCTCAGGCACCTTTAGCCAGGCTTACAGCAGCATTCCAATCACTGGAGAGAAACCTTTGACCAGAAGCAGGAACACGCGCAAAATGCAAAGATGCTGTAGAAGCTGAAGCTTTTAAAAACCCAAAAGACGGTTTCCAGACTTCATCCTCCACCTTCCTCCACCTGAACCTTTACACGAGAGTGCAGCCATCGTAATGCATTTATCGTAGTGAGAAAGACAGCTGGGGCAGAGGAAGCTGTATTATGGCCGTATCCCCTGCCACCAGCTGGAAGTGTCTAAGTGATTCCTCGGAAGGGGGAATGCTGCAAAGGATGCTTCTCTGAAGGGAAAAAGTCCAGAGTCACCACACATGCAGGAGCGAAAATCCAGCACTAATTCTGAAAACCTATTTTAGAATCCTTCGAAAAAAAGACAGGGCTGCAATTTATACATCACCACTAGTTCTGCACAGAGCATAATTTAACCCGTAAGAGAATGGAGCCGTTCCTACTTGAGTTTAACTGCTGATGGGGACAAAATACATAAAATAAGATTTCACAAAATGCACTAAATTTTGCTCTGGAGATCCTGACCGCGTTACGGGGAAAACAATGCATGCATTGCTGGTCTCAACAGTGCGTCCTTTATGCTGAACTATCTGCCTAAATGCATTTTGTGGGCGAGGACTACAGAAGGGCCTGTTGTCTTTTAAAAACAACATGCTGATTACAACACATCATACAGAAAGACGTGAGCATGTTGGTGTATGGAACAGATGCCCGATTCATAGGAGTTCCCCAGGACTCTCCTCTCATGTGGTCCACGGGTCGAGGACGGGCAGTCTGTGCAGCAATCAGGGGTTCGGAGACACTGAAATGGAGATCTGGCTTTCACGTGAGGGGTTGCTTCCATCACCTTACTATTTTTGCCACCTGAGTCCTCACTGACTGCAGCCTCTGAATATTCATGATGTGAAGTGAAGCAGCAGTCACTCTCCAGGCCTGCCGGGGTGGTTCTGCCGAGGCACACACCGGAAGAAACGGACGAAGTCAGGAATCATGTATACACACAGGCGATTCACACGGTTTTAGCAAGAAATGGCTGAATGGTAGACTGGACCTAAAACACTTGAGCACTGGGAGGAAACCCTAAAGGCACCAGGAAAATGAGCAGGGGGAAAAAAGATGATACTCCACTGAAGAGACTTAGTATGTGTACTTCCAATACCATGAGGCCACGTGCTTCTTCCAATACAAGAAGTCCGTAACTTTAGAGATTGGTCCTTTTGGCTTTGCAGGACTGACGGCTAACATGTGTGAAAGCTGAAGCAAGAAGGCCAAAGGCGCCACGTGAAGAGTCGGCTGGGGTTCTCTGGAGCTGTTGTTCACCTGCTTCATAAAGAACCTCCAGTGTGAGCTCCTGCAAACAACATCCACCCACTACGTTTTAGACTTGGAGATCAAAGATCTTCCTCCCCGTCCCCTTGTAGGGGGCTTGACCCTCTGGCGGGCAGTGATAGGCAACGGGAAGGGAAAGATGGCGGGCCCATGGCTTTCCGGCCCTGCCGCGAATGGACGGCACACTCCTCTCGGGCCTCACTGTGAACCGCGTGAAAACCACATGGGTCAAACCATTCCCAGGGGCCTATTCGTGTGCTGATGCTCATGTGCTGCTTCCCCACACAAACTACCTTCAGGAAGAAAGAGTTCTGGAAAGGTTCTCCCTTGCCTAGCAAACCATCATCTGGCAAAACGGAGGAGAAAATGAAGGAGGGGAATGAAATGAGACTCAGATCCAAAAGTGACAAATCACAGTAATAAATCACTTAGTAATAAAAATAAGTGGTTTTTTGGGGCACCTGGGGGGCTCAGTCGTTAAGCATCTGCCTTCGGCTCGGGTCATGATCCCAGGGTCCTGGGATCAAGCCCTGCGTCCGGCTCCCTGCTCGGCGGGAGGCCTGCTTCTCCCTCTCCCACTTCCCCTGCTTGTGTTCCCTCTCTCACTCTCTCTCTCTGTCAGGTAAATAAATAAAATCTTAAAAAAAAAAAAAAAGTGGTTTTTCTACCAGAATAATTTTTTTTATTGTAATAGGAATAGGTGGGATGGAGAAAAAAAATTAAAATTAGAACTTTTGTACAGTCTCCCCTTATACAAATTATCCTGTACTTTTGAGGAAAATTCATATGATTTCCTTTCCTTATTTTCTGCAAGCTGAAGAGAACAGCCAGCTAAAGAACTGGCTGGTTTCCCACCAGCTCCTGGACCCTTTTTTCTTTCTTTATAGACACTAATGATACTTTAAAATATGTAAGTAACCTTGATCAGAGTAACCTCTTTGTCTGAGGCTGCAAAGCTATACTTTCCCATTGATCTCAGCCAAAGCATAGTTGGACATTAGGAAAACGGGCCACAGGTATTTTTTTTTTTTTAAAGATTTTATTTATTTATTTGACAGAGAGAGACACAGCGAGAGAGGGAACACAAGCAGGGGGGAGTGGGAGAGGGAGAAGCAGGCTCCCCGCCGAGCAGGGAGCCCGATGCGGGACTCGATCCCAGGACTCCAGGATCATGACCTGAGCCGAAGGCAGTCGCTTAACCAACTGAGCCACCCAGGCGCCCACACAGGTATTTTTTAAAACTAGAATAATTCTTGGTTTCCCTCAAATTAATCAGAAGTTGAGAATCCATCACAACTTTTGTCGCCATAATAGAAACTTCTTGTGATGTTGGATTTTGCAGTATCTCAGTAAGTGGTTAACCCATCAAAAAATAAATTCTAAGGTTTGTTTAGATTTTCTTTCTTACAGAAAATGTGGGCTTTTGTCCTCCATTTCTAAGCCAGAAGAACTTTTAACAGCAATACCGCCAAGGAAGGCAGCCCTGTGGGTCTACGATTTTGATTGTTGTACTACTAAAGTCTTAGTTCTTTTCTCCCTGCCCAGCCTACACTCTGACAAGTAACTCTTCAGCTTCTTGTGTACTTATTCTCAATACAAAGGCATTTACGCATGATAGCCACAAATACTAGGTTTTTTCCTCCCAAACTGAATTGAGAGTTCTATCAATAATTCTAGAAAGCAAGCTATTTATAAGAGCTGAAAATGAAACATGAAAAGAACTTTTAAAAACTTGATTCTCTGGTTGAAGATTCCTAAAACTTCCCCACTCGAGTTCGCTCTCTTCTGCAAGGTTACAGAACTAGTATGAATCTTCCAAGTAAAACGGATGGTGCAGCGGGTACAAGAGTGTATATCTGAGCAGGGCAGCTGGTCTCTGAGAGCAGGAAGGAGATGCAAGGTTCAATCACATCAATTACCGCCTGCATACAGGGTAACTTCTCCAGTCCCACTCCCTGACATTGGCCATGAGGGTGTACTGCACAGAACTTACACAGGATGCGGATGGCCTGGGCATGGAATGTCAAAGCTGTTCAAAGTTAAAGAAAGACTATTCTTAAGCCAATTCTCTCCAGGGAAGCGGGGGAGGGGAATCTGTTCTGGTTTATAAAAGTTCCAGCTACAGGAATTCCCAAAGCATCCTTTCAAAAATAAAGTAAAAGTGATCCTTCAAATTTATTCACAGCAGAAATCCTTCTTTGAATGTCCTATAGTAAAGGCAATTATAATCAACATAACAGCAGAATTGAAGGAATGGTATCCTAGAGCCCAGCTTTATGTCCCCCTACCCTTCCTGTGGAAGGCAGCTTGGCTGAGCAATTTGAAAACCAGCATCCTACAGCAAGGAGGAGTCCTGGTCTTTTCCTTGCTTGGACCTTGGTTACCAGAACTTAAGTCAAAAACTTTCCTTATGATTCTGCCCAAAATCATTCCTGGGTTCTTCCCAGAAGTGACAAATTTATTTACAGGATTTCCTATCTGTGCATTACAGTATAACACTAGTACAAAACAGTAAAAATCACTTTCTAGCTTGGCAGCTGGAGTAATGTTTGTACCCCAAAGAATTTCTAATCCAGGAATCAAAGATTTATGACTAAATACCCCACTGAAAACAAAACCAAGTCAACTCATTAGGATGTTTTACAGACTTCAGATGCCAGTGAGGGTAATTTTTCTTCACAGTTTAAGCTTACACCTTGTCAGGATTTTGAGACAAACTCTATTACTTCAGCCAATTAGTAACTTGACTACTCTCGGTTGTCATTCTGTATTGTGTCTCCACATTGGTGAGCTGGGTGGACACACAAACAATGTACGTGATTTCTATGAAGAGGATACTGTCTCTTGGTCATTTTGAAGTTTTAATAACTGTGCACTTTAAAAAATATATTACACAGTGATGTAGAGAAGGGGAGGATGGGAGTGTAAAGAAAAATGGAGGATGGGAAACAGAAAGAAAAAAAAAAAAGAGAGAGTTCTCATCTGCCAGGGAGGCTGTACCTTCCCAAACCTACCCTGTGCTCTCGGTAATGAGCAAAGTGTGTGTTTTGATGGAATGAAAACTATCCGTGCTGCACCCACTTCAGTTTTCTCAGAAGCAGAGCAACCTCACCGTAAGAGTCAAAATATTTTTCCTTCACAATGAAAAGTGGATCCGTCATCATTTCATTAATTTTGGCATCCTAGATAAAGATGATGTCAAGAGACCTTGAGCAGGTTCTGAACAATGTCGGGAACAGGAAAGAAAACAAGCACTAAACCTGTCAATGGTAATAAATGACAAAAAAGCACCTTGGGAAATTCTCAACTCATAATCACATATTCTTCTTCATTTTCAGATGAGACACATGAAGTGCTTAAAAAAAAAAGAAAAGAAAAGGGAAAAAAAAAAATGACTCGCCGGACCACACGGAAAGACTGGTGGTCCCTCCCACGCCATCGTGGGGTGGCACCTTTGGATCCATGAGGGCTGGCCTCAGGCCCGTCAGTCTTCGTGCTCCATCTGCCCTCCATCCCTGGAGCAGACAGTCTGTCCAGCTCACTGGCTCACCTCAGTGCTGCAGAGCCAGCTGGTAGCCTGGGGCCTCCTCACACGTGCAGTAGGGACAGGCTTCCCCAAGGTCTCTCCACCATGGCCACATTGGCCGGCAGGGACGAGGGGATCCCTCACTCTGCACGGAAGACCCCCACGGGCACTTCCCCGGGTCTCTCTGACCGGAGTAGACTGGTGGTGCCTGGCAGAGTGCTGAGCGGTGGGCAAACGAAGTGTACTGAACAAGCCACTTCCTCTCTGGGCCCCTGTTCCTATAGGAGGAGGTGGCTGGACCACCCTGTCACGGACCCAAAATGCTAGGATTTGAAGTGACAGAAGGTTGTGGGTGTTTGGAAATAAAGGGAGATACAGAGGAAACGTATATTGAAGAAGAGTTTGTGATCTGTGCTGGTCCATACAGTAGCCACCAGCCCGATCTGGCGATTGGACACTGAAATGTGACTAGTATGTCTGGAGAACCGAGTTTTAAATTTAAAACGTACTCAGTTCGGATACTGGAACACATTGCAGTGTGTTTGGAACAATTTGGATATGGGAATTGACTTTTCCAACTTCAAATTTTATTGGAAAAATACAGATCAAGTTTCCAATAATTTAGCATCCAAATGAAGACATAAAGTAACACCAGATTGCAAGACTTAATATGAGAAAAAGCAATGTAAAATTCCTCAGTAATAATTGTATATATTGAGTCATG